TTATATATAGCTGAATATATAAATAATATTTGTATATGTTATATTAAAATAATATGCAATAAATAAATAAATAAATAAATATATATATATATATATATATATGCAAGTATATGATTTATAAAACAAATATAAATAAAAATATTTAGAAAATAATATTCAGTATTGATTTTAATATCTATTATTTTTAGGAAAGCTGAAATATTCATTATTGCAAATAAAAAATATGGTATATCAATTATTATATATTAATCCGAGTTGTTATATGATCCCGGAAATCTAATTAATTAATAATAAGATTGGAAGTAAGACCATCTATGTTAGGTACATTACTTTAAATACGAAGCGCTACTACGATCTGAATTTTAAGATGTTATATATTATATATTCATTTAAATGAATTAATTTCAGAAATTATAATTGAATGCCGATATAGTTGTCAGACTTTCAACGAAATCAGTCTGAAATATTAATAATCCCTCCAAATTTCCCAAATTTAATCTTAAAAAATTTTTCGCAATAAGTTTATTACGGTTTTTTAAGATTAAATTTGGAAAATTTGGGAGGATTATTAATATTTCAGACTGATTTCGTTGAAAGTCTGACAACTATATCGGCATTCAATTATAATTTCTGAAATTAATTCATTTAAATGAATATATATAATATTTTATCTTAACATTCAGACCGTAGTGGCGCTTCGTATTTAAAGTAATGTATTTAATTAATTAACTAATCAATTAATTTAATAGTACATTACAAGTCATATGATTTTACGCGAAAAAACGTTGAAACAAAAATATGTTGGCCTGGGCATAAAAATGATCTTATTTACAATTATATAAAATATGGTTGTTTAAATATTAGGAGCTAATTTAAAAATTAATCTTTTTTATGATTTTTATTAAATACATTATAAATATTATAGGAACATTATTAAGCATCACTGATTTCGTCTTGCTACGTATCTGGTTTATTAAGGCTTGATCTTTTAAATAAGCTATCGATGGTTAAGAACGAGCGATCATTTACACTCTTCCACGCCAAGAAGCATTGACGGCGTAATATACCGAAAGTGTACCGTCAGCACAGATT